AGAGGGCCCTGCTCATTAGAGCTTACAATCTAGGAGCAAGGGTTGAGTGATACAAAAAGGTAATAGCTGTAGGGGGATCAGCTGATGGAGGAATTAAATGGCAGTTTACTAGTTACAAGCAGGATAGGCTTCTTTAAAGAGAAAAAAAGTTTTCAGGGATCATTAAAAAGGTGAATAGATTAGGAGATAGCCGAACAGATTGGGGTAGGGAGTTCCTAGGATAGGAGAAGCTCAGGAGAAGTCCTGGAGGCGAACATGGGAGGAGGCGACTCTGGAACTAGATAGCGGAAGGTCTTGGGAGGATCAAAGAAAGTGGTTTGGCTGATATTTGAGATCAGATTGGTGATGTAGCTCGGAGCACAGTTGTGGATGGCTTTATAAGTTGTTCGTATTTAGAATTTTATTTTTTGGGCGAGTGGAAGCCTGTGGAGGAATTGGCAGAGAGGGGTAGCAGACAATTAACAGTTGGTAAGGTGGATGAGCCTGGCAGCAGTATTCATGATGGACTGGAGGGGGATAACCTAGGTAAAAGTAAGCCAATGAGGAGTGAGTTGCAGTAGTCGAGGCGAGAGATAACCAGGGAGTGAATTAGGAGCTTTGTGGTATCATTGGTTAAAAAGGGGCGTAATCTGGAGATGTTGAGGAGGCAGGATTTGGAGAAGGATTTTATGTGGGCCTGAAAGGATAGTTCAGAATCCAGGATTACCCCTAGCACCCTGGCATGCAGGGATGGGTTGATAGTGGTGCTATTGATCCTGACCGAGAAATCAGGGGAAGAGGCACGTGGGGGAGGAAATATTATGAGGTCAATTTTGGACAGATTGAGTTTTAGGAAATGGTGTGACTTCCAGTCTGATATGTCTGTTAGTAAATCAGTGATATGTGAGGAAACGAATGGGGTGTGCTGAGTAGAGAGATAGATGTGTGTCATCAGCATAGAATTGGTATTGGAAACCATGGGAAGCCATCAGATGACCCAAAAAAGAAGTGTAGATCGAGAATAGGAGAGGTCCAAGGACAGAACCTTGGGGGACCACGACAGTAAGAGGAGTAGGAGAGGAAGTAGAGTTGTAAGTGACATTGAAGGTGTGGTGAGATAGGTAATTGAACCAATGAAGAGCACAGTCATGAATTGAGTTTTTTTGAGGTGGCAGGGGTGGTCAACTGTGTCAAAGGCAGCAAAGAGGTCCAAGAGTAAGTACGGAAATATTGACCATTGGTTTTAGCGGTTAGTAAGTAGTTTAAGTTTTAGGAGAGCAGTTTCTGTGGAGTGTTGTGGGTGAAATCCAGACTGAAGGGGATCGAAAAGGTTATTCTCAATAAGGTGGCAACTCAGCTGGTTGTAGACTAGATGTTCAAGGAGTTTGGAGGCAAAAGGGAGTACGGAGATGGGTCTCAGGTTGCTAAGATTGGTGGGGTCCAGTGAGGCCTTTTTAAGTATGGGGGTAACTAGCGAATGTTTTAGAGAGTTGTGGAAGATATGAGTTAAAGAATGAAGGATAGAGCCAGAGGGTGACCATAGCATTTGCAAGGGAACAGGGTTCAGGGGGAAGGTGGTTAGGTGGGCTTTAGAAAAAAAAAAAAAAGTTTACCAACCGCCTCTATAGTAGCTGGGTTAAACAAGGGAAGTATAGACTGTGCAGGTGGACAAGGAGCATAGGATGAGGGAGATATCTGTACAGTGGAGATCTCATCACAAATTGTATCAATCTTATTTTTTAATTGATTAGCGATCTCCTGGGCAGTGAGTGAGTCAGTGGGTGGAGATAAAGAAGGACGAAGTAGAGTTAAAGGTAGAAAAGAGTTAATGGGGATTGCGTGAGATCGTGTTAATGAGAGTGATAAAATAGGTCTGCTTGGCAGTGTGGAGACAAGAATTGTATTTTTGAACAGCGGATTTATATTGGTCGAAGTCTTGCTGGGTCTTAGTTTTATGCCATAAACACCCAAGAGCACGGCTACATTTTGAGGCATTTGTTATTGTCTGTTTGCCAGGGCTGTAGCAGTTGGGGCCCAATTCTGTGTGTAGTGAGGGGGGGCAATGTGTTCACAGTGCATGACAGTGAACTGTCGTATACAGAAGTGGCCAGGTTGGGGCAGGACAGGGCTGAGATTTTGTCAGAGACAATCTGTTGCTAAAAAAAGAAGAGAAGAGTTAGGATAGCGAAGGTTTCTACAGGTAACTGTTTGGTAGTTGGAAGACAAGGAGGAGGAAGCCAATGAGAGAGTGAAGCTAATAAGGGAGTGATCAGAGAGAGGAAAAAGGAAAGTTGATGAGGTTGCAAGGAGTGCATAGGTAGGAGAATACAAGGTCGAGGCAGTTACCATTAGAGTGAGTAGAAGCATGTGTCCATTGTTTTAGGTCAAAAGAAGTGGTTAGGCACAGAAGTGTAGAGGTAGTAGGAGTGTTAAGATTAACAGATGTTGAAGTCACCGAGAATGATTGAGAGAATTTCAGAAGAGAGAAAGTAAGGCAGCCAAACAGAGAAGTCATCAAGGAAGCTTGATACCGGCCCAGGAGATGAAAAGAGTGAACTTTAAATGAGGAGAGGGAGGTGAATGAAGGACCTGAAAAGTGCTTTGAGGGGATAGGTGGATTCCAACTCCACCTCCTTTCTGTCCACTAGGCCTGGGAGAGTGAGTCCAGAGGAGACCACCATGTGAGAGGGCAGCAGGAGAGGGAAAGTCCGATTCATGAAGCCAGGTTTCCATAATTGCAAGCAAGTTAAAGGAGTTTGTGATTAAAAAGGTCATGGACAAAGGCGAGTTTGTTACAGAGCGGGCATTCCAGAGGGCACAGAAAAATTGGAGGCTGGTTCTAGAAAGAAAAGGAATAGTAACCAGATTGTGTGGATTGCGGCTACTGCTAGAGGATAGGGGGTGCCGGGTATGTTGATCAAAGGAAAAAGCTGGTGGCCCATGATTTGGGGAAATGTCTCCAGATGTTAGGAGAAGCAAAAGGGTGAGAGGTAATATGGTAATATGACTTACGGAGGGACAGGTCCATGTGTACTGGAGGTTTTATTAGTATGTGGGCTCAGAATTAGCAGGAGTTGATAAGTACAGTAATAAGGTGAAGACAGGAGTGAGGGTGATATACATGAATTGTGGGGTGGAGAAGAGGGGTAAAGGAGAGAGAGTTTGAAGAGAGGATAAAACTGTACAACTGTGAGAAGGAGGAGTAGGGAGTGCATGTTACAGAGTGGTGAGATGAAGAAGCAGACTGGATAAGAGCTGGATGGGGAAACAGGTCACCTGTAGTCTGATTAGCATTTGGATTTACGAAAACAAAATGCGCCACAAGAACTATGTTAAAATTTTGAAATAATGCTGCTGTGCCTTGATGAGAATCAAAAAGATTGATGTAAAAAAAAAAAAAAAAAAAAAAATTATATATATATATATATATATATATATATATATATATATATATATATATATTGTGGCAGTGCGGTGTCCTGCCACGGTCAAAATAAAGCGGAGAACCTTGGATTCTCAACCAGGCAGGTTGAGGGGCTCCAGAGAGTTGATTTATTGCAGAGGAAACTGGCTTTTCAGTTTCCTCATTTGTTCATTAAGTTTGTTTTGGGATCTGGAGCCTGGAGATTTCAAAGAGATCTGGGAGGGATGAAATCTCCAATCCGGGGTCCGTGTTTTGAGAACCCCCAGCACACTGATTGCACAGGTGTGTGCAGGCCTTTTTATAGAGTCCTAACCATAGTTCAGGGCTCCACCCCAGCAGTTAGGAGGGCTCCACCCCCGCAGACGGGAGGTCTCTGCCTTGGAATCAGGTGGAAGCCAGACTAGCGGTGTGCTAGTGACATATTTTGGGAAGAGTCTGCAGGAGGCAGACTTAAAACTGCGTACAAGCCAGGAGGCTGAATATTGTTTTGCTTGATGGTGGATACCCCTGCGTGGGAAGCATTTTTATTGTTTGAACTTTCTTAAATAAAAGTGGGCAAAAAAGCCCTGAAAAGAAAGCGAGTTGCTGTGTGCTTTACAAGAAGAGCTCTACCCTTTGAAGCGAGTTCCCACAATATATATATATATATATATATATATATATATATATATATATATATATATTATATATCTATATCTATATCTATCTATCTATCTATCTATCTATCTCTATCTCTATCAGTGAAACAATAAAACGCAAAACATGAAATGAATCAAAAATTATACACAAATCATAATAAATTCTGGTTATAAATTGAATGTCCAAAACCACCAAAATGAAAAAAAATATATATAAACATTTGTGTCCAAATACAAAAAGTAGTGAAACCAAAAACAAAGAAAGTCCCCTTTAAAACATGCAAATAGTGCTCCAAAAAACATTTTAGTATAAGTGTAATACAGAGAAAAGACTCCACGGATCCACACCTTCCTGTGAATACTGATGTCTAAAGACAGATGTACTTCCCTTTTCCTATGTTGAGCATGTGACGTCATATACGGAGCTGCCAGTTTGGTTTACTTTCTGGAATCCGTTTTTACACTAGGAAGTCTGTTTGAGGATTTTGTCAATTGGCGACTTATTTTAGGTTATAATGTGAGTAGATTGAGCACTATTTTATTCAATTAGAAGTCTTTGCAATATTGCACTATTGGTTCTCCTTTGTCTTCCTATATAACACATCGTTATAAGGGGAAATCCCTTTTGAAATTGGATGTAAGGAAGCTCTTGTATATGGAGGAGGCTATGGAGAGGAAATTTTCCCTGGGAAGTGGAGGATAATATTGTATCCATAAAGTGCAAGTTATTCTTACCTCTGGTGAGTGTGGAATATATCAGTATTCACAGGAAGGTGTGGATCTTTTCTCTGTATTACACTTATCCTGAAAAAAAAAATTTTGGAGCACTATTTGCATGTTTAACCGTCTCCCGCCTGTCATGCAAGGAAATGACGGGCGCAAGGCGGTTCTCTTGTTCTGGGAGGATGTCATATGACGTCCTCTCACTCTAACTGCGCGTGTGCGGCTTCGAAGGCGGGCAGCACGGCGATCAGTGGTGTGCTGTGGCCCTCAGACACAGCGGATCACCGATCAACAGAGCCGAAGATGTCGGCTCGGTCATGTGATCAGCTGTGTCCAATCACAGCTGATCGCATGTAAATAGGGGAAACGCCGGTTATCGGCATTTATCTGCTCGCGAGCGGTCACGCTTGACAGCTCCTGAGGAGAGCCGGTAAATCAGCATTCCTCAGGAGGGGACATGTACACTGATCATCAGGGCACTGATGATCAGTGTAGCCCCAGCAGTTCCACCTGTCAGTGTCCATCAATGCCACCTGCCAGTGCACATCAATGCCACATATCAGTGCCTACCAGTGCACATAAATGCCTACCAGTGCACATCAATGCCCATCTGAGCTGCCTTTCAGTGTCACCTATCAGTGCCACCTATCAATGCCAGTCAGTGCCACCTAATAGTGCCAGTCAATGCCGCCTATCAGTGCCATATGAGATCTGCCTTTCAGTGCCCATCAGTGATGCCTGTCAATGCCACCTACCAGTGCCTCCTCATCAGTGCTCATCACTACAGCCTCATTAACACACATCAGTGAAGGAGAAAAATCACTTATTTAAAAACTTTAATAACAAAAAAAAACAAACACTTTTTTAAAAAATTCAGTTTTTCGTTTGTTTAGCAAAAATAAACCCAGAGGTGATTAAATACCACCAAAGAAAGCTCTGTCTAAAAAAAAAAAAAACAACAATTTCATATGGGTACAGTGTTGCATTACCGCACAATTGTCATTCAAAGTTTGACAGTGCTGAAAGCTGAAAATTGGCCTGGGCAGGAAGGGGGTATAAGTGCCCATTAGGCAAGTGGTTTTAAAGGGGACTTTGTCTTTGGTTTCATCACTTTGTATTTGGACACAAATTTTTATATTTTTTTCATGTTGGTGGTTTTGGACATTTTATAACCACAGGATTTATTATGATTTGTGTATAATTATTTTTGATTAATTTTATGTTTCGTGCTGTTTTATTGTTTCACTAGTATTTGGATTTGTCTGCTATGGCTTCTCACTTTGTGCATTCCCTGAAGTGCAGAGCTCACTACTTAATCCAAGATTATACCTTTAGCCAAGATGACAGTTGCCAATTCTACCCATTGCTATGCTGCCATTTTATTTTGCCAATGCACACACTTCAATGTGGCTTTTGTCAGGAGCCATATACCAGGCAGAGACAGAAAGTGCAGTTAAAAGCACACCTTTAATGAAATAGCAAAAATAACACTTTAGGAACTTAGTCAAAACAGAAGCAAGATTTGGATGCAAGGACGGGTAATCAGATGAGCCAGGGTCAGGAAACTACACCCTGTTCCAAATTATTATCCAAATTCTATTTAAGTGTCACAAAGATTAAATATTTTGTTTTTCAGTTTAACTCATGGATGGCATTGTATCTCAGGGTTCTTTTGATCACTGAAAACAATCTCAAGCACCTGTGATAAGTAGATTGGCAGGTGAGCCCAATTTAAGGAAAAAACTACTAAAAGGAGGGTGTTCCACATTATTAAGCAGAGCACCATTTTCAAGCAATATGAGGAATAAAAAAAAAGGATCTCTCTGCTGCCGAAAAGAGTGAAATAGTTCAATGCCTTGGACGAGGTATGAAAACATTAGATATTTCACGAAAACGTAAGCGTGATCATCTCCCTATTAAGAGATTTGTGGCTGATTCAGAGCACAGACGGGTTTGTGCAGATAAAGGCACATTGAGGAAGATTTCTGCCAGATCCATGCATAGGATCAAGAGAGCAGCTGCTAAAATACCATTACATAGCAGCAAACAGATATTTGAAGCTGCTGGTGCCTCTGGAGTCCCACGGACATCAAGGTGTAGAATCCTCCAGAATCTTGCAACTGTGCATAAACCTTCTGTTCGGCCACCACTAACCAATACTCACAAGCAGAAACAGCTGCATTGGGCAGAAAAATACAAGACTAATTTTCAAACAGTCCTGTTCACTGATGAGTGCCGTGCAACCCTGGATGGTCCAGATGGATGGAGTACTGGATGGTTGGTGGATGGCCACCCTGTTCCAACAAGGCTGCGACGTCAGCAATGCGGTGGTAGAGTCATGTTTTGGGCCGGAATCATGGGAACAGAGCTGGTCGGCCCCTTTAGGGTCCCCGAAGGTGTAAAGATGACCTCTGCAAAGTATGTGGAGTTTATGACTGACCACTTTCTTCCCTGGTACAGAAGGAAGAACTATGCTTTCTGTAATAAAATCATCGTCATGCATGACAATGCACCATCTCATGCTGCAAAGAATACCTCTGCATCAATGGCTGCTATGGGGATAAAAGGAGAGAAAGTCATGGGGTGGCCTCCATCCTCCCCTTACCTCAATCCTATTGAGAACCTTTGGAGCATCCTCAAGCAAACGATCTGAGGGTGGGAGGCAGTTTACATCCAAACAGCAGTTCTGGGAGACTATTCTGACATCTTGCAAACAAATTCAAGCAGAAACTGTCCAAAAACTGAAGTTCAATGGATGCAAGACTTGTGAAGCTGCTATGAAATAAGGGGTCCTATGTTACAATGTAACGTGACCTGTTAAAATGTTTAAAAAGTTAAAATGTTAAAAGTTTGATTGAAATAGCATTTGATTTCAGTAAATATGCTGCAAACACAAAATTATAATTTTCAGTTCTTTAAAACCTATAAAGTGTTTTGAAACTTACTGTGCGTAATAATTTGGAACAGTGCATTGTAAGTTTATGTTTAAAAAAACACTGTTATCATTAGGAGGTTTGTTCAATAACATTTGAATTGTACTCTTAATAGTTGATAACATGAGAATTATGCTGACTGTTATTTACATCAATTATTTTAGGCAAATAAGAAAAAATATCATTTGCATAATAATTTGGAACAGGGTGTAGAAGTCAGCATAGTCAGGAGCCAAAAATCAGGAATAGGAATCAGGAGAGAAGTCAGCCACACCGAGTTGCACACAGGAACACAGGCAGGAACACACTGGAGATAATAGAACACTCAAGGGCAGGGAGGAAAGCTAAGCTGCTAAAATAGCAAAAAGGGCTGGTTGTAGGCTGGACTAATGAGGCAGGTATTGGTATTCAGGGGAGTTGCTGTGGAGACGAGTGGCTGCTAATTAACCGACAGCTGAGCAGCTTCGGAGCGCAAAAAAAAAAAAAAAAAAAAAAAAAAAGAAAAGCTGCTCGTTAAGTGTTACTAAACCCAGGACCCTGCATTCACTATATCTGGTCTCCCACAGTACACAGAACATGGAAATGCAATTATTTTAGTAAATATAAACTGCTAAATACCTTTTTTCATCAGCAGTTAGAGCCGTCTTGTGACTTCTATCAGTGTTCAGCAGAGCACTGGTTAAAACCTGTAGGAGGAGTTCTCTTTCTGCTCTAGGAGAACGCAAAACCCCTGGCTTCTGTCTGCATGTGATTAGCAAAGGCCAATCAGCACTGTCCACTCTCCCAAGAAAAAAAAAAAAAAAAAAACACACACACACACCACACCTCTCCAGCAATACACACTAAACTGAGCATGTGAAGAATGGCTACAGTTCAGTTTGTCTTATCAGGAGATGAGGCGTGGAAATTTGAACAAAAGGAGGAGCAGAGAAGTCAGGAACAAATGGTCTTTTTACACAATGCACATAATTAACCTCTTAGGTTCCACAGTAAGTATAACAAGCATGCTGTACTGCATGTACAGACAGATTTTGCTGTTGTGGGTTTAGTAACACTTTAAGCAACAGGGGCCCAGCCCTGACAGTTTTAAGGGCCAGTTCACACTATAGAAACAGTCCAGATATGTTCCAGGTGCGTTTCTGCATGCGTTCCAGTTCAGTTTTTCCCCTCTTTTCTTCTTCAATTTAAATAGGGACGTGTGCATTCCAGTGCATTTTGATATGTTTTACCGCATTCCAGTACAGTTCTGTGTAGGAAAAATGTAGCCTTTTCTACTTTTTTCTGCATCTGGAATGCACTGGAACAGCAAGCACTGATGTGAACATTTACATTGACAACCATATAACCTAACACCCCATCAGAATGCACACTCACCAAAAGCTGGTGAATTACCAGCATAGCTTTATGTATCCAACACTCTGCTCTCTGCAGCTTAGAGATATCCAAACAACTCCATATAGTACATGTAGGCAGAAAAAAATACTCGCCATAGTGCAATAACGTATGTAAACAATTTATTCAAATCTCCCCCCTTTAAAACCGCACTCAGAGTCAATAAATTTCAAGCATTGTAAAAACCCTCAACACATAAGAGCTTCCAGCTCTGTCAGCAGCATCTCATCAGCCTGCCTGCAACCAAGATGGCGTTGTTGCGGTCACGTGGTATGGACACGTGGGTCGGCATGCGTGGCAACGTCACTGGTTAACCACGTGCTAACGCGTTTCGTCATACGACTTCGTCTGAGGGAGTGCTCCCTCAGACGAAGTCGTATAAACGAAATGTGACCGCATATAGTAGCAGCTCCCAGTCTAACTTATTGTGGTATTTTATTTGAATCTATGGGCGCAATGATTTAAATCTTGTGGTGTTTGAGAGTGAATGAGACAGACACCTTTCAGGATTTACACATCCAAAAAAATGGAGAGAGCATTGCTTATGCTGTTAAGTTCTAAGAAGGGGACAAGGACACTGCATTTTTGGCAAAAACATGTATTTTCTGTATTTGAGTAAAATGTTCTTAGCATTATAAAAGAAATTCATGCAGCCACTACATCTAAGAATTGATAGCTTGCAATATATTATATTTTTATTTTTTGGTTTAGATACACATTGATATTTCCAAACAGATACAAGTTAAATTGCAATACAACAACTGTGTTCTTTATGGTGGTATTGTCTTTCAAATAAATTTTTTTCTTAAGTTAAAAAAAAGAAGCCGAATTTAAAAAAAAAACAAAACAAAAAAAAAAAAAAAAAAAAAACACCCCACACACCTATGTTTTATTCAGTTAGACCAGGGATTTTATCAGGGTTATAACAACTATTGTTACTGTAAGTCCAAAATATATTCTCATTTGTCCCATTTATCACAACCCTATGTTTTTTTTTCCTTGTACAAAGCATGTTGAAATAACTTACTAATGAACTAAATTATTTTTTAAATATTGTATGTTTAACCATTTCAATACCGGGCAATTTTACACCTTCCTGCCCAGGCCATTTTTCAGCGCTTACACTTTGAGTGACAATTGCGCGGTCATACAACATTGTACCCAAACTAAAATTTTATCATTTTCTTCACACAACTAGAGCTTTCTTTTGGCGGTATTTAATCACCGCTGGGGTTTTTATTTTTTGCTAAATTAACAAAAAAAAGACCAAAAATTTTGAAAAAAAAATACCAAAAAACATTTTTCTGTTATAAAAGTTTACAAATAAATAATTGTTCTTCATAAATTTAGGCCAAGATGTATTCTGCTACATGTCTTTGGTGAAAATAACCCAAATTGGGATGTATTT